AAAAAAGAAGGAAGAAAGAAAGAAGAGGAAGAAATTATACAGGAGAAAGAAAAAGTAAAAAAAAAAAAAAGAAATAAAGAAATAAAAAAGGAGAGCGGAGGAGAAAGAAAAGGCAAGAAAGAGAAGGAAGAAAGTAAAGACGACCCGTATCCCGTGAGGTGAGGGGAGAGCGCCGAGCCCCAGCCCCTCTCCTCGCCCGACAGACAAACAGAGGGGCGAGCGCAGGTCCCTGACCTACCGCGAACATCTCGAGGATTTCAAAAGCACCAACTTAATTTCTAAAGCAATTTTCCTGCGTCTGAGTCGAATGCGACAGCTCTTCCCGCCCTCTCCAGATCGGAAAATGGGATTTTTTTTTTTTTGAACCTTTTTTCTCTACATTCTGCGCGGGAAAGGAAAAAAAACCGAAAGAGATATGGGGAGGGAAATAAGATGCTGGAGGGCAGCTATTTTCCAAAGTTACGAGACAGGAAAATGTTTTCAGGTCGGGCACTGGGGCACAGGGAGATTGGACGTTATTATTAAATCCTAAATTCACCGTGAAAATGGGAGTTTCTGCGCAGTCACAAGGAAAGGCCAGGGCACTCCCGGAGGAAGGATCGAACTATTGGAAAAGATGATGTCTAAAGGTTGTCGATGTCTAAAGGTGGTTTCTATAATCCAGGTTGATTTATTTTTGTTCGGGGCTGCGAGAAACTAGAAAGAGAAAACTAAAAAACTACCGGAGAAAGGAATAAGATCTTGACCTTTCCTAATTCTCCAAATGGGCAGTAATGGAAAGCAGAAGGTGCCAGGGGAGGAGGCAGGAGCTGAGGGCCGAGCGGGCGGTGCAGCGGGGCCGCCCGGGCCGGGGTCCCACACCCGCAGCCGGCGAGGGAAGGGCCACTCGCTTCCCTCCTCGGGATCCGCACCACTTAACACAGGCTTAGTTAAGCGAAAGCAGAGAAAGAAATTACACACACAGAGCCCTCCTGCTGCGGTCCCGACGGGGATATTCCGGGGCAGGATCGTTTTATCCCGCCCCGACAAACCCGAGGAGAATCCCCCGTTTTCCGCCTCTCCCGGGCTGCGCACACACGGAAATCCGCCGCGGAGTAACTACGCTGAAAGCATCGCGGGTTTGTTACGACCCCTTCATCTGGCATATAGAAAGCAGAGGAGTGGGGGCACATTAAAGAATAAAAAAAAAAAATCATCTCCGCAGATGTGTGACCAAAGCCAAAGCAAGGCAGGGGAACCTGCGTCCCCCGGGTCCTGCTCGGAAACAGACGCCGAGGGGAAAGGGAGAGGGAAAAAATCCCAAACCTGCAAAAAAGGATCGGGCTCGCGGCGGGCTTTGCCCGGGGTTTAGCACTGACAAAACCAACCACTGAAAGCAGTCCCGAGAACCGGGAGATTCGCCTACGGACGGGACGGAAGGGAAATGCCAGGTCGCCTTTTTGGCCAGGGACTCCCAAGCAGCGACTGCAACAGCTAATTATTTTCCTTTCAGTGCTCGGTTATTGCTGGTGTCCTCCCCGCCTCCCCTCCAATAAATAAATAAAACCCTCTTTTAGGCAGCGAGGCGTGAAAAATGATCCTCGCTGAACGCTTAAAAATAATGTCCCGTGAAGATCGGGGCCACGGAGCCAGCCAGCCCCGTAATTAGGGGCCATTATCCGTCCTGCCTCGCCGAGGCAAGATTTCTCCTGAACCCCCCGAGCCGAGCCCGGCCAGGGCATTCTGGAACCCCGTGGAGACCCCCGGGTCTCTCCCCGCCGCCCCCCGCTCCGGCGGACGGGGCAGAGCCAGTTCCCGGGGGGTCTCCGCCGCCCCCCCCGCCGCCTCCCCGAGCGACGCAGATACTTGTAGGCGGCGTGAGTCTGGTCTGGGCACGGAATAAGCTGAGGTGCTTCAGGGAAATTTAGGGAACGGGGGAAATTCTAATTTTAGAGACGCTTGGGGATCTTCCCCTCAAAATAAAACCTCGACGGCGCCGGCGCTCGCAGCCCCCGCGGGCCCCGGGGAGCCGAGCCCAAGCCTTCCTGCGTGGGTACCGCGACTCCCGGTTAAGAGGGGAAAATCCCCCCGCTCCCAAGTCAGTTCAGCTTCAATCCTGGCCGGCGACCGCGGCTTAAAAACTCACAATGTCTCTGCAAGGCAAAAGGAGATGAACGAGCCGGGGAAAGGTGTCCCAGTCCCAGATCCCCCTCCAGAGCCCCCTCCCCTGAGCGTGTGGGGGCAGGGGGCTCTCCAGGGAAACACCGCTTCCCTGCAGAGAGGACCCCCCTCCATCCCTCCAAACCCTGAGACCACCAACTTGGAGAACCCCTTGCACCAGCGCGACTGCAGGGGCCACACGCCTCCTTCATCCCTACGGGCACCGACTGCTATTTCTTATCCGCTCTTGCCACCCTTGGCTCCTTTTCCTCCTGCACTTCGCAAACAGAGAAGCCAAAAATTATTAAAAATCGCTACTTTATACTAAAATAACCAGCCCCCCCTTCTTCCAGGCGCATAACCACCACCCAGCCTCGCTGCACATCGCTTTCTTCCCTCGGATCCCTTCTCCTCAAAGCAGGCTCGGTTATTAAAGGAGGCTGAACAAAGATAGCTCCGAGAGCAGCTATCAGCGCATTTTAACTTCATCAAAGACTTCGAGGGAGAGGGAGAGGAGGGGTCTGGCACCTTCTAGTAATGAGCTTGTCAGGAACACCCCTGCCAGAGCAATTGAACGATTTGCACACAAGCAAAAGAAAAGGAGAGGGGAGGGAGGGAGGAAGGGGAAATGCTACAAAAGCCCCTTCAATTTCCAACCATGTGCTTGGCAATCTGGAAAATAGATTCATTGGCCTCCTCTTTTCTCCCATGTCGAGTCTTGTAGCCCCTTTTGTAGGAGCTGGACATGAAAGGGAGACAACCAAGTGCCGGACACGAAGATCGCTTTTCAAAAGCAAATGTGTGTGAAGGCGAGATGTGAGACCGCTCGCTGCGGGGAGGCGGCACGTTCAGGAACAACATCAACAAACTGCGCGGAGGTTCGAGGTGGCACAGACAGAGGCAGAGGATAAAAAGGGGATGGGGGGCGGGAGGAGAAAAGAAAAGCCGATCCCCCCCCTGCTCCCCCGGCGCACACTGCCCGGCTCCTGCCTGAGCCCCGGCGGGCCTCGCACAAAGCCCAGCTCGCCCGGGGACCGGCTCCGTCCCCCGCGCCCTGCCTCGTACGTCTCAGCTTTTTTTTTTTCCTTTTTCTCCTTCTCCTTCAGCTGGCTGCCCGGTCAGAAAGGCCTCGATTCTTTCGATCAGGGTCCCTGCCAACAAACAAACCAAAGAACCACGTTTGGTCCCTGAAATAAAGAAGGTGGGGGGGGGGGAAGAGAGAAAGGGGAGAAGTTTGGACGAGAAGGGAGCGCTTTAAGATGTTTATTTACTTTGTAAGTTGTTGCAAAATTTAGGCAGAGATCAAGTTTCATTCAGTCATTCAAATGCTGCAGGCCCAAGGGGGACGTGTGTGCGGGGGGGAAACCCTCCAACTTATTTTCTCATGTGTCAACTTTTCCAAACAAAATAAAAGGAGGTGGAGGGGCGGCGGAGGGGAGGACGGGGGGGGGGGGAAGAATAAGGGACAACGTTTCTCCTGGCCCCCACCTCCTTCCCTCTGGAAACACGCAGAGTTTTGTTTTTTGGTTTTAGGGTTTGTTTTCTTTTTCTTTTTTTTTTTTTTTTTCCTGGGAGACACCAAAATCAGATAAATAAAAAAAAAAATAAAATTACCAAAAAATAAAATATATATCCGGGGATCCTTTCCCTTGCCGGCCCGTGGCCCCACACCGTGGCCCGGGCGGTGTGGCAGCCCGCTGCGGAGGGCAGGGAGGCGTCGCGGAGCAGCCCCGCACAGGCTGCGCCGCGGCCGTGGAGGGGCCGCTCAGCCCCTGCCGAACGCCCGAGTGTCGCCGGCCCGAGGGTGGGAGCCACTCGCTTCCCCGAGGCCCGAGCGGGACTCTCGGCTCTCAGCGTGACAAAGGACATCGCAAAGAACGATTTGGATTATTATTACTTTTTTTTTTTTTTTTTTTTTAACCAGGTCACAAACATTTATTAATTTACACCAACGGTGGACAAAATTCTGTTGCCTTTTCCACATCAAATTATTCACAGATTCTCTCAATAAAATAGATATGACGGATGCACAACCAGTGAAGAGTTAACTGGACTCCGCTCATTAGCTCCCGAATAATCTATATACAAATAATTACCAATACACCAAAAAACCCACGCACAGAGGGGGTGGGAAAACCGGGATAAAAAAAATAGTATGGGAATTTTCCAAACTTCCTGACGGATCGGATTTTCTTTTAAACGTGCATTTGACTGTCTCATGGGGGGGGGGGGGGGGAGAAAAAGAAAAAAAAAAGGCAAAAAAAGAAACCGCAGTCCTGAGTTTCACCAACTTTTCTTCTTCTCAAAAATAAAGTAACCTTAAACAGTGCGTTTTAAAACCAGACCCGAAGCTTCAAAGAAACTAAAAATAAGATCGAACCATTAAAACATTTTCTTTGAGAGCAGGGGAGAGACAGACACACATGGCAAAACCACCCGGGAGAGAGACTTGCAAGAACAAAAACGGGCTCGCTGCGACCGGGAGCGTCCGCAACTCCCCTGGCCGCTTTCCCAGGTGATTTGGGGGACCCCTGCGGGAAACCCGCACCTCTCAAAGGAAACATTTTCCACTCTAAGACCGTTTCGTTCTTAACATGCCCCCCGTTCTCTCCTCGCAAGACGTTGAGTATTTAACCAGCCCAGGTCCCAGCTTATGTTACGGCCACTTTATAAATACGCTTTGGCGTTTGTGGGACCAAATCGTGTTATTCTTTCCCTCCTCCCGCCCTCCCGATTTATTGATTTTGGTTTTTTTCCCCCCCGAGCAAAGAGAGACAAACAGATCTGGATGCCACTGAGCCTGGAAGTAAAGTAAAAATTAAAAAAAAAAAAAAAAAAAAAAAAAAAGAAATATTTCCTACCTTAAAACACAACAGAAGAAGATCGGGGGGGGGGGGGGGGGGAAGGGGACAGGGGGGGGGGGAAGGGGGGCGGTTTCGGGGGGGGGGGGGAGAGCTGGAAAGGGGCCGTTTGCTTTGCGACTCTCCCCCCACCACCACCTTCCCCAGGCCCCAGCACACTTTAAAAATGACAGCTGCTGAGGGTTGTGATTTTACTGGAAAAGTTCTGGGCCGGCTGGAGGAGCGGCTCGTGTGCCAGGCTGACCTGGGGCTGTGCCGGGGCCAAGGCGGGGCTGAGCACGGCCAGGACCTGTGCCGGGGGGCCCGCCTGGCCGGCGGGGTAGGGCGCGGCGGGCGCGACGCTGGGGTTGGTGCTGGGCGGCGGGGGCACGGCCCCCCCGATGATGTTGTCTATGGAAAAAGAGGGCCGGGAGGGGTGGTTGGTGCCGCCGCTGCCGCCGCCGCCGCCGCCGCCGGCGGGCGAGGGGTCCGGCTTGAGGGTCTGGAGGAGGGCGGCGGGCAAGGCGGTGGGGCTCAGCTGAGGGTGGTAGAAGGACTTCCTGCAGTTCAGCTCGCCGCCCAGGAAGGAGGGCAGCCCCGAGGCGGCGGAGAAGACGGAGGCGGCGGCGGGAGGCGGCGGAGCCGGTAACGGGCAGTGCGGCGCCGGGAAGGGGAAGGCGCCCGCGGCGCCGCCGCCTCCGCCGCCGGGGTGGTGGTGGTGGTGGGGATAGCCCTGGAGCTGCAGGCCGTAGTTGTAGCCGTAGGGTCCGTAGGCGAAGCCGGGCAGGAATGCGGCGGGGTCGGCGGCCCCGGCCCGCAGCAGCAGCTCGGGGTGCGGCGGGTGCAGCTGCTGCTGCCTCTTGAAGCGCTTCCTCCGGCGCAGGAAGCTCCCGTTGTCGAACATGTCGGCGGACTCGGGGTCCAGCGTCCAGTAGTTGCCCTTGCCCGGGTTGCCGGGCTCCCGGGGGATCTTGACGAAGCAGTCGTTGAGGGAGAGGTTGTGGCGGATGCTGTTCTGCCAGGCGGGGAACTTCTCCCGGTAGTACGGAAAGCGCCCGCTGATGAACTCGCAGATCTCGCTCAGCGTCAGCCGCTTCTTGGGGCTCTGTAGGATGGCCATGGTGATGAGGGCGATGTAGGAGTAGGGCGGCTTCACCAGCGGGTTCTTCCCCCCCGCGCCGCCGCCGCCGCCGCTGCCCGCGGGCGCCTTGTCCCCGGGCGCGGCGCCGCGGGCGCAGGCGGGCTCGGAGCCGCCGGCGGGGGACAGCCGCTCCGGGGACCCCCCCATGCGCGCCTTGGCGGCCCCGCTCCGCGGCAGCGCCAGCCCCAGCGGATCGCCGCCGTCCTCCTCGTCCTCCTCCTCCTCGTCCTCGTCGTCCTCCTCCTCCTCGCTGTACTTGCCCCCATCCTGGGGCGGGCCCACCACGTCGATATCCGCGTCCTCCACCTCGGAGAGCGGCTCTTCCTCCGGGGAGCGCTCGGACATGATCCCGCAGCCGCCGCCGCCGCTGCTGCCCAAAGTCATTGTTGTGCGGCCGGGGCGGCCGGGGCCGGGCTCCCCCCCCCACCTAGCGGCGGCTCCCGGGATGGGCCCGGGGCCGTGCCGGAGGGCTGCGGCCGCCGCTGGGACTCCGCGCCCCGGCGCCGCCGCTCCGCTCCGCGCCCCGCTCGCCGCGCCGCTGCTGGCGGGGCCGCGGTGGTGGCTGCGGGGTGGTGGCTGCGGAGGGAGGGGCGGCGGAGGGGGCGCGGGGCGGGGGCGGGGGAAACGGGGCGCCCGTGGGCCGGGCAGGGAGCTTGGGAGCAGCGATAATAAATAATGGTGATAGTGATAATAAAAGGAGAGAAAGAGGGGAAAAAAAAAAAAGAAAAAGAAAGAAAAAAAAAAGTGGGGTTTGCGGCGGTTCCTTGCCTAGCTGGGGGGGGGAGGGAGGGGGAGGGGGGAGGGAGGGGCAGGGGAAGAGGGAGGGGGGAGGGCAGAAGTGGGGAAGGCGGCTCCCCCCTCCCCACCCCTCCCGAGCTGGGACCCGGTGGAAACGCTCCCACACTGCGCCTGCTGCCAGCGCTCCCCAGGCCTTTATACGGCCGCCCCGGCATCACGTGGCGCCCGCTGCAGCCCCCGCGGGGCACGGAGAGGGGCTGCCGGGCCCAACCCGGTCCCCGGGGAGCGTGTTCCCCGCCCGGGATGCTTTCGAGGAAAGGCGCTGCCCGTTCCCCTGGCGCTCGGTTGCCCCCGGCTTCGTCTGGAGTCGGCTGCTGCAGGAGAGGGGGTCGGCGCTGGGTAAAGGCCCTTCCCGCTCCGAGCGCCCCGCGGTGCTGGAGGCTCGCAGAGCCCATTCCTGCGGGATGCGACGGCCGCCTTTCTCCGCCCGGGGGTCCGCGGAGGGTCCCTTTCTCCCCTGGAGGGCTACCCATCCCCGAGTCTGGGCCCTGAGCTGCAGACCTCCAGCGGTCTCACCGACAGGGACCCTCACTCCGCCAGGACCGAACCCTCGGCCCCTTTGAGGGGTCGTGTGAATTTGGGGATCCCCGCTCCCCTTCTCCACGCGCTCACGTCACCGACGCGTCACCGAGCCCGGGACACCCCGCCTGGAAACCCGCCTCCCCCGAGGGCTCCCACGGCCCGCACCCGCGGAAGGGATGCTGCCGCCCGGCAGGTGCGGGGCGGAGGGCGAGGGGTAGCGCTCAGTCAAGCGATAAATAACCAAAGCAAAGGCCGTGCGTGTCCCCGGGGTGCTGGGACTGCACCCGAGTGCCGCATCTCTGCCCGGCGGGGCTGGCCCAGCCGGGTACCACTTTCCGAGGCGACCCACCCGCGGCTCGTCCAGGCTCCAGCAACTCTTGGGAAAGAGGAGTATCCTGCGGCCTCGGGATCGCCTGTCTGCCGCCCTCCTGCCTCCCCTCCCCAGCGGCTGGCAGGGAGGAGGTAGCGGGCAGCGTACAGGCACCTTGTCGCGGGCTGCAGGCGAAGCGGGAGAATTTCCCTGTAAACAGTCACCCAAGGCCCCTCAGAGCCACAGAAGTGTCCGGGCGTGTGGCACAGACCCGCTGCCCTGCTTGCCGCCGCCCTGGTGCAGTGCGGGGAACACGTCCACTGCTGAAGCCGCCCACCCCATGTCCCGTGGGTGGCAGTGGCAGCAGGTTGTCCCCGTCTCTGCCGCGGACACGCCGAACCACGCTCGCAATGTTAGTTCTGCTTTTTTTTTTTTTTTTTTTCCCCTCCCGTGGAGTCTCTGGAAACACATAACCGCTTTCCCGGGGGAGGATGCTTGGGGAGGGAGGAAGGCGATGGGTTCCTCCAAGGGGGTACCACGAGGAGATGTCCCCCCGCCAGGGCCGCGTTCGGCAGTGTGAGAATCCGCGGTGATGAATTGCCAGTCTCTGCCGTTAACAGGTGCGAGCATTTGGCGACAAAATCTCCAGCACTAATACCGGGGAGCCGGGCCAAACAGCTGCGCGGCCCCGCTTCCAAATGCCGGTCACAATTACTCAAGCCCTAACGACTCGGTGCACAAACTCGGCGAATTCTGGGGGACCCCGCGGAGAGGGCAGAAGCGGACATCTTCGCCCGTGCGTCTCCAGCGGAAGCAGCGACTGCGGAGCCGGTTGCATCCTCTTCCCTCGCCGCCAGCATGGCCATCAAGGAGAATTTCTCGACCGAAGGGGGGAAAATAGATGAATAAGTGTGCTGAGAGTTTCTCGAGAAGGTGGGAAGTCTGTCCCGCGGGCGCGTATCAGTTCTGGGGGAGCTTTCCTGAGCTTTCGCTTTTAAGCTTCTTCAGTGCTGTTAACCTGCGTTTGCAACACATACGCATACATCTCCCCTTCATATGTGTATGTATATATTCGACTAGACATATATTTATATTCTTTTATTTCTAATATATATTTTTTCCTGTATATATAATTAGCTAACATGGAGAAATGCTTCGGAGATGCTGCATCTTTCCTATCGACATTGTTTAAACTCTCCATTCATCAGCCCGGTGGAAAGACGATGGGAAGAACAAATGGAAAAGAGCGGAGAGGGAAAAGACCCGAGCCGCTTTCCATTTTTATTAAGTAAAATAATAGTTATGCCTCCCATACATAAACGAAAGTGTCATAAAAAATTCCGAAGCAGCTGCCAGAGATTTCGACCACACACACAACGGGGCGATTGAATTTCTGCTTGGTGCATTTCACGGCAGCGAGGAACCGCCGGGAGCTGCGCCTTGAGCCTCTGCAGGGCGGTGAAGGGGAGGGCAGGGAGGGGGCAGCAAAAATGACGCGCTGCGAGCGGACGAGGGCAGAGGACACCGCCCGGGGGATGCTCGGGGGGGAAGATGCTCAGCCGCCCCAGAGGCACCCGCTCGCAGGGCGGCTGCCTCCCGATCGCTCTGTCTGGAGGCTGGTCTCGCACGGCTCGAAGTGAAACAGATGTGGGTGTCTTCTGCCTGCCTCCCCCAGTCCCCCCCCACCCTCGCCCTGCCCCGGCTGCCGGCTCCCCCCCTGTCTAGAAGGGTGGGCAGACCGCGGGGGGAGCCCCCAGCAACGAGGGGCTCGGGTGGAGCCGTTTGCTGCTATACTCAGGGTCACAGGGACCCCGATGAGGCCGAAAATGTAGAGGGGAGACGAGAAGGGTTGATCCGATGTGGCTGTTGATGGGATACGGCCGGTGGCTTGTCCTGCTCCCGCCTGGACGTGGCTTTCCTCCTCAGCATCGCGCTTCCAGAGCGCCGCAACTCGAGTAATACAAGCCCCGACCAGCCACCACCGACACGATTTCTGCCTGTTTCAAGGCACAATATTGTCCCCGTTAAGTCGGAAACGACCCAAAGTGAAAAGACAGTGAATGAGTCCTGATCCCTCCATCTCCGAGAGGCTCCTGTTCGCCGAGGCAGTCTTAGCCTCGGCTTTGCCATGCAAGATTGGCTGCAGAAACGAATCAAAACGAGAAAAAGTACCTAAACTACACCCGTCCCGAAATGATTTAGAAAAGGGAAACCCTGGACAGAAACAAAGCAGATGGTCGGATCCCAGACACGGTACACTCGCACATACACTCCCGCCAGTGCATCCACACACGGAGCGAGGGGTGTGTTTTAATGTGCGCCGGGGTAAGAAATGATGCGGTCTTCCGAAAGAGAAACCCAATTGATTTACCCGAAAAGATTGCCTTGTCATCGCCCCGCCGATCCTGGGAGTGCAGGGCTGGGAGGGAAGCATTTTTCCTTGGGCAGATTTTTAATTTTTCTGCTCTCCTCTCTGCAGTACTTTCTTACACACAGCCTCGCTTCCCGTTTGAACCCGACTCTGCTTTACATTTCACGTTAAATTGCGGAATCAAACGTGAGTGGGGCTGTGCGCTGATGGAGTGGAGAGAGTCTCCAAAAAGTCTCAACAGTAGAGAAAAAAAATAATAAAGGCCGTCAGCCGATCATGGTGATACTTTTTTTCTCCTTTAAATTGATTTTCACTGCCTTTCCCGCCTATTTTAATGAGGCGTTTGATCCAGGCGTGTTGGATCGGTGCTTGATGCCCTGATGACGGCTTTAGCAGGTGGATCCCCACGGCCGAACTTTCTCCCCTCCCTGGGTTTCCCGGTGCCTCCGCCCGAGTCGGAGCCCCCTGCAAACTGCAAAACTGGCCACAACTACCAGGCACTTTTTTTTTTCCCGCACTGGGAAAAACTCGTTCCTTTCCCATGCGCCGAGACCGTTATTTGCCGGGGGGTGTAGCAGAGGGCAGGGAGACCAACCCCGGAGCACCGCGGGGTGCGATCGCTGCTTCTACCCTGGCACTGGTCATGTCCACGCCTAAGGGGGCTGCTCCTGCCGGAGCATCTCCTGGAGAGGGAATTTAGCTGGAAGCAAAGCCCTGGGAAGCAAAGCCCTTGGGCAGGGCAGAGGATTCAGCTTCAGTCCAGCCGACGTTGTTCCCAGATCCTTCCATATGATCTGTTGGTGTTGCAATACATAATCGTTCTTGTTGCTTCTGTCGAGCAGCATCTAAATTCGTTTATTCTGATGAGAACCGCATCTAGAAGTCCCCCAAGGCTCAGTGATGGATTTCTCTGTATTACCTCGTTATCAAGCTTGGCTGACCTCTAACTTCTCTGAAAACATGAACAAGACAGACCTGCTGCTGCCTGGGCTGCCCCAGGGGGCTCTTTTTCCACTTATGTGATTTCCTTTGATATTATTTCTCTTCTTTCCATATGCAAGGCTCAGACCTTCAGTGCTCCCTACAGTTCAACCTTTTTTCCAGCCCTGTAGTGCCAACTCCCAGCTTGCAAAGATCAGTTTGCAGTCTGCACACCAAGAGTTCCCAGCGCAGGGGGGTCAGTGCGAATGGTGGTGACAGATAGTGAGAGATGTATAAAATTCCCAGTTTGGAAACCACCGGAGCCAAGTGCCAATATCCATCCCTGCAGTGTTCAGATGTTGGACAGCTCGGGTTTGTTGACTTGGCTTTTCAAATGCAGGTGTCTCAAAGTACACACCAAAAAAGGCCTGGATTCCAGTAAAAGCTTTTCCCAGGCACCCCATGTGCGGGGCTGAGCCCCCATGAAACTTCGGAGAACAAGTCTCCCTGTCTTT